GAGCAGAGTCCTTATCTGTGGAAAACTCTAAGCGGTTATCCTGGTTTAAGACTGCTTATTATAACAAAACTATAATTTACAGGTTTATAAGGCATGGCTCCCTGGAGGAGGTCACATAAGCTATACAAGTCTCTAGGACAGTTCTCAAATAGGGATGATTTTGATCCCATGGGACATTTGGCAATATCTGGTGACATTATGAGTTGTCACAATTGGTGGGGGGAGTATTACTGACTTCTGTTGGGTAGAGGCCAGTGATACTGCTAAACATCCTATAATGCAAAAGACAGGCTCCCGGCAACAAAGAATTATCTAGCCTAAAATGTGCAGAGTTTACGAACTCCCACTCTAGAGTTTAAAATAATCTAGAGATGTTTTATAACCCAGGCACTTCCCACTGTGTGAAATGACCCATGGACCTCAATTAAAGAGACCTCACTGATTATTTTGAGTCAAAGAGAGTGTGACCAACGTGGGAAGGAAAGAACTAGGAGGGCCATGTAGAATGTTTCAGACCAGTCCCTGCTTCTGTTCTTCTTGACTGCTTATATCCTTTAAGTTATTGCAAAGTTTAATACTTGGAAAAACTTCTGACTCCAAACATCAAAGTCCAGCATCAAAGTGAAAGGTTCAGTAATTGATCAATTACTGATAGATCAAACCAACAACAACAACAATTTAGTAAAGATATAAGGGGCTTGAACGGGGAAATTAGTAAGTTGAATTTAATGAGCATATACAGAAACCTGTGCCTAATAATTAGAAAGTACATATTCTTCTCAAGTACATTAGTAACAGTTTAAAATGGTCTATGTACACTAACAAGGTCATAAAGCAAATCTCAACAAATTCCAAAGAATAAGTATTATATAGATCAGGGCCCAGCAAACTTTTCCTGTATAAAGAGAGAGAGACAGTATTTTAGGTTTGGCAGCCCACCATGCAGTCTCTGCCCCATATTCTTTGCTTTACTATTATTTTTTTTAACAGTACTTTAGAAGTTTAAAAATCATTCCAGGGCTTCGGGTGACCAAATTAGTTTGCTGACCCCCAATACAGATCACATTTCCTGAGCAAAATAAAATTAGATTAGAAATGAGAAACAAAGATAAAGCAAAAAACATAGACGACTGCCTTGCAAATCAGTAAGGAAATGTTATCAGAATAGCTGGGGAAAAAGAAAAAAAAAACCCAGTTGAATTCTCTATATCACACTGAAGAATTTTAATCAGGAAAGTAGAATGATCCAGTTTAAATTTCAATTACCCATTGGGATTGAATCTTGGAGAGCATTTCTGGAAATGAGATGATTCAGAGAATCACATCTGGATTTTCCTAAATAACATACTTTCTGGAGCATTTGGAAGAAGACATCAAAGCAGGAGTCAGGGGAGAGCACAGAGAAGAGAGTCTCAAACTTCAGTATGCACTGAAGTCAGCTGGAGGGATTCTCAAGTTGCTGAGCCCACCGCCCCATTTTCCTATTCACCCCCAACTTTCTGATTCAGCAGGCACTGAGAATTCAGAAAACATCAGCATTATATACATAAAATCCTCTATTATGCCACTTTTGAAGGGGGTGACATTCCATGGCAAATCCTAGAGAAATTTTACCTTTTATTTCTTACTTATATTGTGCCTCATTGCTACTAATTGGTTAATGTAGTGGAATCACATCACAGGCACATTTCATTATTTGAATCAAACACAATAGGCCAAATAAAAGGTATAGACAGACAAAAACAATAATACTGGAGACTCTGCCCACTATTTCACACACTGAATACATGTTCTGGAGTGAATGCAGGATAAGCAACAAGAATATGGGCTCCCTAGTCTGTTTCAATCACCACATGCATCTCAAGCTGTGAACACATTGCTGCATCGCATGACTCCAATGTTTAAAACTATGTTCCCTTTCTAAAAAAACACACAACATGGCCATCAAACACAAGCCAACTTTTTTACCTGGTTCATCTGAAATAATTGTGATACGATCCAAGTCTGGAGGAAAAGCATGCCTGTGTAGGACATACTGAGAGACAGTATGGTATGGCAATCTGGTGTCCTCCCAAGGGATTTTCACGAGAAATTTTAATTATTCATTTTTCCACCCAACAAGTTCACTTTCGATTCTAACTCATTCTTAAGCAAGAAGCAACTGCTCTTGAATAGTTTCCAATCAAATTAGGAAATACACTGGAGCATCGAGAACAGAGAAAGCAAGGCAAAGATAAATACACACATATATACTTTTTATATAAATCAAAATATATAATGGTTTGTAAAAAAATAAAATTTACATGAGGTTCTCTATCTCTAATTTAGCCCCCCAGCTTCTTGTTTAGTTATATTAACTCCACATTTCCCACTCAAACGTGGGGAATGAGGGGAGTGAACCTAGACAGGCTCATAGTCATAAACCAAAATGTCTTGTATTACAGAAGAGCCCCATAGTTATATTATTTTACTTTTAACAAAGGGAAGCAAAGCTTTTCCTTTAAATACCCTTGGAAAACAAATGGCTAAAATAACATATCAGCACCAGGTGAGAACAAGAATAGTCAGAAAGAACATACCACGAGGATCACATATTACTCTAGAGAACACATGGAACAGACCCCTACACGCTAGGCAATGCGTCTTTTATTTCTCCACACATTGGTGCTGGCCCAGATTATCTGAGCAAGGAAAAATTCTCATTCCACCCCAATTTATGGGTGTCTGAAAGGCAGACCCAAGGAACTTATGCCTGTCCCTTACTAAGCCTTGAAAAGATTAATCTGAATTGAAACTGTGAATACTCCTCTCACGAGGTACCCTATACACCAAGCCATAACTCTAGTGATCTCTGACACTGGCCTTAGCTGTTTCAAGAGAAAGGGTTTTCCTGACCTTGTACTCGCTCCTCTGTACCACAATGACACGGAGCACCATTACACTTCTGAATATCAGGTTGCAACTGGTCATCCTTTGACATCTGATTCAAGTTTTTACACCCAAACGATTAGAATTTTAGACTCCAAATCCCCAAAAAATATTTATCAAAGGGTATGCTGGCCTTAATCTTCACTTATTTTTTTGTGCATAGGAGAAATTCTTTAAAAGCCCTCACATTGACACTATGGAAAAGAAGGTAGCACACACTCGGTAATAGCAGATGACATCTCTACTTCTCTCTCTCAAGTAGAGAAAAACTAAACACTAAAATCAGGACTCAGGCCAGCTGAGTGGCTTAACTGGTTAAGAGTTAGCTTAAGACCGTGCGCTCTGAGCAACAGGGTCGCTGGTTAGATTCCCATATGGGCTAGTGATGCTGCGCTGGAGCTGACCTGCTGCTGAGCTGCCAACAGGTGGCAGGATGGCTCAGCTGGCTCAGTTGTGCTTCTAACAACAAGACTGCCTGTTTGATGGTGGGCTACGCCCATCTGCAACTAAGACTGAACTTGGCACCTTGAGCTGAGCAGCTGCCCAGGTGGCTCAGTGGATAGAGCGTGTGCTCTTAACAAGGCTGCTGGTTCGACTCCCGCATGGGATGGTGGCCATGCCCACCCGCAACTAAGATTGAACACAGCACCTTGAGCTTGGAGGCCACGAGCTGCCAAAGAGCTGCGAGATGGAGACTGGCGCCCTCCACAACTAAGACTGAAGAACAACAACTTGGCTGGTCCCCCTCCCCAATTCCCCACCACTGTTCCCCTCCCCCAATTCCCCAATTAAAAAATAAAAAATAAATAAAAATAAAATAAAATCAGGACTCAAGTGAATGTATGTGCTAAGCAAGAAATATAAAAAGATGTAATTCACTGGGCATTATGAATTAAAACAAATATTTAGATATTGCAGTAAGAAATCTATTGTGCTACAATGCACTACATACATGCTTTACTTGATCTTTCTGAAAGTATTTACTGCCCTGACCATTATTTAACATTCTGATCTGAAATGCTTGTTTCAATGCTTATGAATAAAAACTTAACAACTTATTAAAACAGGATATTCTCTTTCCTTTATGGCAGTTATATCACTCAGAAATGTGCCCTGACAAATATAGTCTACAAGAATGATTTTTCTGTGCCTTGTTCTAAGCT